TGCTATAGTCATTTGTTTTTGTTTAAATGGCACACTATATATTTTTTTATCAATTCTGGAAGATATCTTTTTTCTGCGTTCAGCTATATAAGGAAGTCTATAGTTTCATTAGAAATATTGCTAGAAAAACAGCAAAAAAGATGTACTCTACTTTCATTAGCTTTATTTTTAAAATGATAGCCAGCTGCGGAAACAATTGAATTTTAACGTTTCTAAATAACGGTTTGTCAAAATAATTGACATTTTGTACCTACCTATTATATCTATAACTAATAATTATAACATGAATACTTACAGTAACCAAGAAAAACTAGATATGATTTTAATTTATGGAGAAGGCTGAAAGAACGCTAAAGCTGCCAGGTATTATTTATAGGTGCCAACATCGTTTCCCGCAGAAACAACTTCCATCAGAAAAAAATTTCGAAAAGTTAGCCAGGAATTTGGCGGCAGATGGAAGTTTTCAAAAGAAGAGTTTTTAAACTCGGAAGGACAAGAGATGAAGAACATTCAATAAAGATGTTAAATGGCCTGCTAGATCTCCGGGTCTCACTCCTATAGATTCATTTCTTTGACCTTACCTAAAAGATATTTATTTTAAAAACACAATAAGAGTAGAATGTCGGAGATTAAATGAAGAAACAATAGAATGTGTTTGTAGAGAGGCAGTGATAAACAGAATACTGTGTTTGGAAGCAAATGGAGCTCATTTTAAACATTTGAAATAAGCATTGTTTTAAATTGTTACTCGTATATTATTATCGTATTATAAATAAAATGTGTTACTTTAGAAAACATAATAACTTGTTTCCGCAGCTGGTATCATTTTTCAGAATAAAGCTACGAAAAGTAGGGTTATTCTTTTTTGCTGTTTTTCTAGCAATATTTCTGATGAAACTATAGACTTCCTTACACTGCTGAACGCAGAAAAAAAATATCTTTCAGAATTGATCAAAAAATATATAGTGTGCCATTTGAATAAAAACAGTTGACTATAGCAATTTTGACATATGTTACTATGGAGACGATCTAATAATGTCATTTGATAGAGTTTGTAGGGCGATTTAAAAATATATAGGGTTTGTCATAGGTATTTGTTAAAATAAAAGAGATACAGGGCCGCGAATACTAAACTGAATCACTCGGTATATAAAAATAATATTTTTGATTAATATGATAGGTCAATTAATTTCTTATGCTGATGATAGGGCAATTATTTTTTCTGGTGACCCCTGGCAAGATATTCAAATCATATAGAACTGGCTCAATAATATAGTTTGTTAAGTTTAAATATTGATAAAACGAAATTTATATCATTTAGTCCAACATCTAATATGCAGCAAAATACTAAATAAAGAAGGAACTCTGAATACATTAGTAAAAATATTATTCAAAGAAGAAAGGCGATATTCTACGGAAATATTATATATGGAAAGTGGTTTGTTTGAAATCATATCAATGCTTGTTAAAAGTTATGGCATGGAATATTAAAGTTACAAAAAAAGAACTGATATGATATGTAAAAAATAACCATATGGCTTTTAAATTGATATATTTTCTAATTATAATTAAATCTTAAAATTAATATAAGGCCTTAAGAAATTTGATTGAATGGATTGGATCATAGAAAAACGTCAGTATATTCTGCAAAAAGTAACGAAGGTAAGGTAATGAAGCAATTATATCAAATTCGTAGTTTATAGAACTTTTAACTTAAAAAATATTTTCATTGAGACGTTTGTACAATGCTTAATAACATATTTTAGGAGGAATTGCTTATCAAATGCTTGGAGACAGAAATTATTATTATTTTTTTTGGTAACATTAGGTTATCAAGTGCTCAAAAGATCACTCATTTTGTATCAATATAAATATGTTTCATATAGATCGCAATTTATAAAAACATTTACTTAGTAATGGACTTACATTCTAGCACCAAATTATTACTAACTGCGATATTTATTCGAGGTATGTTTAGCACACATTTAAGTTTTGTTATAATTATACAAAGAAAATTGTAGGAACGTGTTCTGCAGATATTCCTGGTTGGCGACCAAACTACTTAGACACTTTTAGATTTATTCCTGTACCGGGAGACTGTTACCAGTTATACCATCGCAATGATTTGATATCGTCTTGCAGGAGAGAAGCGAACTTTGAAAATCAATCCTGCATCGAATGGGTGTCAGGCGATCACGAATGTATCGGGCTTGTAACACCCACAAATGAGACGGTAATGTTTCGATGCACCTCCCATATCAGATTTGATAAGTGTTTCGAAGTATACGACACCAACCAAAATGTAAGCATCGTATGCCAGGAATCAGTTGAAGGTCATGGGGTGGGTATCACAACGCCAGATAATTTTACCATCATATTCTACGATTCCTTCTGCAGAACTGCTGCTAATGCTATAGAAAGACAAGTCTACGTTGACTTCGTAAACCATTTTTCGTTAGACGCAGAAGCCAGAAGCTGCTACAAGGTATATAACTCAACAGAAGTGGTAACTCCCTATAACTGTTTAAGTAAAACTATTCACAACAGTTGTGTGTTTGGTATGACGGGAGGATGTACTGCACTAATGACTCAAAACAATGAGGTGTTAGTATTAGACTGTCCTGATCAAAGTCAGAAGCCTAGCCAGAAGAACTGTTTTTATTTACACACTCCAGATAATCAAATACACACCGTTTGCCAAAAGAAAGTGGAGGAAAGGTGTATAGGAGTAGTTACACCAAGTAATTTGACTGTTTTGTTCGAATGTTTCTTCTGTTCAGAATCTAGTGAGTATTGAAGCATTTTCCTAACTGTTAACATGACTTATGTTATTATTTTTAGTGGAATATGTTTACTACAATTATGAAAGGCAAAAGAAGTTCCGATGGTTTGTTAAAAGTTACCTTGAGAATGAATATATAGGAAAAAATTCTGCTTTACTCAATCTTAAATATGAAGTATTCAATAATAATTTAGATTCATCCAGTAGTTTGGACACTTACTCTTACTGGGTACCAAAAACTAGTTGTCTTGGTATTACCTTAGAAAGCAACGAGACCATTCTGTTGGAGTGTATGGTTCTGAAGGAAAAACAAGAACAGCCTGGATGCTTCCAATTGATCACAGCAGAAAATGAAAAGCAATCTGTGTGCACAGAAATATTGAATGAGGCTTGTGTTGGACTAACGACTCCTAAAAATTTGTCTGTAGCTCTAGCCTGCTATAACACAGGTAAATACATTCGATGCGATGGTGCAAAAGTGCATTTTTCTCCAACCGTCACAAAACTATGACATTTTTTACTGTCAGAAGTCTCTAAGATTGACATTTTCTTTACTGAGAAAAAAATGGCATCTTAGCAACAAAAGTATTCACTTTTAACCCTAGGAGCTAAAGTTGACACCATTACCATTACCCTCATTCTTGGAACAATTCTCAAAGCAATCCAATACAATCAACTTTCAGTATTCTTTTCGCAATATTTTCTTTATTCAAAAGTGAGTCTTCAATGTAGCCTTCCGGCACAGTGTTCGATCTTCATCCTCCGTATCTTTTAAGACAAGTGAGGTCACCACCGCTCTCAACTAAAAGGGTAGCAGACGTTCGTCGTAATGTGTGTTCAATGTACTATTTGTCCAGCTTCAAAAATGTTGTCGCTTCTTGCGAGACGGCACTGATTTTGTGACTACCATTCGATGACACTAATATTCTGAAAAATAATCGACGTTCTACCAATCCGGCTGGACGTAAAGCAACATAATTTCGATAAAAACTTAAATAAATTGTTTCCCAGGACAGTAAAAGAACATGGTCTCTTGGCTTTGGTATTGGGATTTTTTATAATTAAGGCGGATTTCACATCTTCAACATTATCAATTGTTAAATTGACTAATTCATCAGAACGGCATGCGCCTGCAACCTCCAATATTAGGACGACCTATAAAGAAGCTCTTTCAAAATTTAATTCTTTTATTTTTAAAGCGTTTACATTCGTCGTCAAATATAAATTGTCAGATGCACTATTAAAAAAGCAATCAACTTGCTCCTTTGTAAATACTCGCGATTTTTTCCGTACATATCCCTCATTTTGTGTCTTAATAAAAGCACGTAACTTTGATTATTTGCTTATATCAATCCCCATCTTTATATCCAACGTTGACCGCAACATTGAATATTGTGAACAAAGCGTTGACGGCTTCATTTTATTTGCTAAGTTTGTGAAATACACCATCAATAATGTTTTTTCTTTGCCCCAATCCATAAAACGTTGGTAGACACATTCATAAATTTCTCGAGATTTCTTTAGGAGAAGGTTCCAAGAAACATCTTCCGCACATTCCAGTATCCCCTCGGATACATCTAAATCTTCATTAGATTCCATTCTTACAGAGTTTTTAGCAAACTGAACCACAAATAATCACAAATGAACTCAAATATGGCGACTAATGTTTGACAAAGTATCCATGACTACATTGATATATCCTACTTACCTACTTTGCTTTATTATCCAAATTTGGTTTGAATAATTTCAAAGCACAAATTAATAATTAAATGGAGGATTTCGGTAGGAGCAAAAATGGCATGTTTTATTCAGATTAAAAGTGTCTTTTTTGTCTCGCAATTTTGCATCCACTCGGCTACACTACGTTTCTCCTCGTAAATACAAAATTTGCTCGCCACAAAAGTAACACTTAATCCTATTTATTCAAAAGTACCTACACAAAAATTCACTACATGGCTTTTAGTAATTTTTTGTCTATGGAATAATAGTAGTAGCACATAACCTGTTTATATTTCTAGTTGAAAATTATAGAATCGATGTCAACAGACCGGAATGGCTATTTATTCTTCATACACTCAAAGATTTCGTAAATAATAGATACGCATTTCATATTGGTGATTATTTTGATGCATTTAGAGAAACCGAAAATAACAAACGGGAAACTAAAAAATATCAAGTACAAAAACTAAAGGATCAGCCAAACTGTATAGGGATACTAACAGAAACTGAAAAAATAGTACTGAGTTGTACTGATGGGAAAATCGAACAAAATGGTTGTTTTAATGTGACTAATCTAGAACATGAATCAAATAATGAAGTGTTAGAAGAAAAGGTAAATAAACTATTTATGAAAAAAAAATAAATTCTTGGACTCACAGTATATTTTTAGGTCAAAAGCGTGTGTGTAAAAGTTTTGAATTCACAATGCGTTGGGGTTATAACGCCAGATAACTGGATTTTGCCATATTCCTGTGCTCCTCCTGTCGCCTATGTTAGTCGTGGAGGGGCAGCAGTGGTAACCTCTGGATACATTTCTAATAGCATACCTCCAAAACTACCTATTAGGCTGAGAAGAAGTTAACAATAAAAAAAATATATTTACCTAATTATTTTTTCACAATAATTTGATAATAAAACTGATAGTATTTCAACTGATAGTAACTGATAGTATTTCATCGACGTTGGTTAACAATAAAAGACCGTACAGACTATTCCAAGATTGTAAATGCCAACATTTAAACCTGAAAACAATATAATTTCCTTATTTGACTACAAGAATATGTGTCCCATACTTAATGAAACACCCTTTATAGAAGCCGTAGTAAAATATCAATTACTACATCCTAACTAGAATTTAATCCCGAAACTAATATACAGGGTGTTTCAGACACCTCTTCTGAAATCTAGAGTATACAGGGTGATTCAGAACTTATCAAAAAAAAAATCTGGATGTACAGAGGACCCTTACAAATACAAATTTCTAAAGAAAAAATCAAAAAGGGCAGTTCGAAAATGATTTTAAAAATATATTTCTGCACGGCACTGGTAAGTGGTCCACTGTAAAACCTGACCTCGCACAATGCGACCGGCATGGCGGTGTGATAAAAAACAGACAAAAAACTTTCGCAAGGAAAGAAATAAATAGAATTTTATAGCACCTATTTTATATCGGCAAATTCAACTGCTTTTGCCTTTATTGTTATTATTATTTAATAAAATTAATTTGTGTTTTTAAATAATAAAATCATTCAATTATACCCGATGTTACAACAACAATTGTTCAAAATTTTATCCACCAACATGTAAACACATTTGGGTCCGTCTTACTCAGTTTCCACGAATTAACACAGATGCTGTCTTGTTTCAGTATAACACAAATGCTTCACCATAATACAAATGTTATCTTGCTTCATCATAAATTAAAACGATATCCATCAACTCCGAGTTACTATACACGCAAACCATTTTTGACGCTAACTACTAAAAAGTATTGTAAACACTACATATAACAAGTAAACACTATCGCAACGACGCAAAATCGGATTTCAGTATTCGGAGTCGCTGAGGCCACGTGCCTCTCCACGCGTATTTCGAATGACGCTAGAGACTATAGCTGTCCAGCTATGTAGTGATTGAATGTACTATAACTTCAATAATTTTTTTCTCGGAAACTATAAGGATTTTACAAAAAATTTTTTTTATGATATTGACTCCATTTCTCATGCCGCATCTATTTCCAAATTTTTTTGGATAAGTTGTGAATCACCCTGTACAATAAAATGAAAAATACTTAAATACAATACCTTCTAATAGTGAATGGAGTATGTCGGATCGACTGGAGTATTTTGAACTTCCGGCTCTCACCGGAAATGGCCTGTTCAGACCAGAAATCAGTTTTTTTCAATGGAATGGCATATGTACTTTTTCTTATTGATCTCAATTCTACGCCGAAAACTAATAAACTTTTGTAAAAAAAATTTTTCTAAATCGTCGTTTTCCACCCCAAAATGCCTTTCGAAATGTAAGTGTTCCCCTGAGAAGTGACAAAAAAATTAAACGCAGTGCTGTACTACCAGGTAACCGAAATATGCACATTAGCGACGTTGTCTCCATTGTAAAAATTTATTAAATTAATGGCTCCCGACTTTATCTGCAAGTGCAACTTTCGATGTCGAAGTTGCGCAGTTAAACCACAAAGTATAAAATAATTATAATATAAAATGAGCCAATATGTAGTTTCAGCAGGGCCACCCCCTCACAATTCTGGAATTTTCTTATTTAAATCAAAAACAAATGGGTCGGCATATGTGGACCAATAAAATGACCTGCAAGAGCACCAGATCTAACGCCGTTAGATTATTTTCTATGGGAATATTTGAAGGATAGAGTATACTAGACGCCTCCTGCGGATTTGGAAGATTAAAAAAATATAATTCGAAATGAGTGTAGAGCTCTTAATGCAGAATTATTAAAAAGTGTTACCCCTTTTGAATCGAGCCGAGTGTTGCATTGAATCAAATGGGCATTTTGAACATTTTCTTTATTATCTTTTCTGACGCTCTAGGTTAGTCTTTGGTGTCAAGATCTAAAAAGAAACAAAGAATATAAATTCTATTTGTAGTGTGCTGTCTCTTTCAAACACTCTTACCAAATAATAATAAAATAAATTACGTAGAAATTAAGCAAAAAATTGGTACAATTTTATAACAATGTATTCAAAACTCACCCTAAGTCAACAGTATAATAACGTGACGTGAACGTGAAAATCAGACTGAGGCAGCGGCTCGCGCATGTCTCGGTTGACCCGCTTGGTATCCCATTGAAGTGCGGTTCTCTCTGAGAGCCCTACATATGACAACATAGAGCTAGCCTGACAAGAAACGCTCAGCCTTAAATTTTAATGTACCTGCTTCACTTTATTTTATTTATTTTAGTTTTTAGCTTACGAGAAGGTGTTTATAATTTAAAGTGGTATTTAGTGAAGTACTTTATAAAGTTATTCATTTCAGTGTTTAATGAGGTATGACGTGTATCTGTATCTTGATTGTTCTGTATCTTGATTGTTAAATTTATGTGTATTTATGTGTTAATATTACGAAAAAAAATATGTATACGAATTAAGAAAATTAGGATTTACAGCAAAACCAATGTCCGGAATTTTATAAATCAAACTTATAACGTGTTTTAAAAGGTCAAAGGTACCCTCCAAGCGCCATTCAAAATTGCACCCTGTATAATAACAAAATGACATACGACAATTTGAAATAATCAAATGCCAAAACAATTAAGATAATGTTTAGTTGTTGTTTTGAATATAAAAGAGAAAAATAGTGACCTACGACTAATAATATATCCTATCAAATATATACTGCAATTAGGAATATCAAATTCATAAATAATCACTTGTCTCACATATATAAGTACAGTGTAAGTGTAAGTATAAGTAAGT